CAGTTAAAGTGGTGTCAAAACTGCATTAATTCTACAGTGTGGATGCTCCCCGAATAGCCCATTTTCACCTGAGATTCATAGATTTCTATCCATTTGTTGCCAACCTTTCAGAATTGCACTTCAGCCTGATGGACCACTCATGTAACTTACAAAATAAAGGGAGCTACCCTGGTGGCGCAGTAGGTTAAACTGCTGAGCGGTTGAACTTGATGACTGATAGGTTGGTGATTCAAATCCGGGGAGCAGGGTGAGCTCTGGTCGTTAGCCCCAGCTTCTGCCGACCTAGCAGTTCGAAAACATGCAAGTGTGAGCATATCAATAGGTACCACTCCGTCAGGAAGGTAACGGCGCTCCATGCAGTCATGCTGGCCACATGACCTTGGAGATGTCTATGGACAATGCCGGTTCTTTGGCTTAGAAAGGGATTTGAGCACCACCCCAGGAAGTCGGACACAACGAGACTTAATGTCAAGGGGAAAACCTTACCTACCATTGTTCAAAATCATATTTAAATGCTGCAGTTTGTATGGAATTACACCTGTCATTCAGAATAATTTATAATAGTGGTTCTCAACCTTCCTAATGCTGCGATCCCTTAATATAGTTCCTCATATTGTGGTGACCCCCAACCATAACATTATTTTCATTGCTACTTCATAACTGAAATTTTGCTGCTGTTATGAATCGTCATGTAAATATTTAATATGCAGGATGTATTTTCATTCACTGGACCAAATTTGGCACAAATACCCGATATGCCCAAATTTGAATAATGGTGGGGTTGGGAGGGGGTTTGATTTTGCCATTTGGGAGTTGTAGTTGCTCAAAGAGCATTCTGAACTCCACCAATGATGGAATTGAATCAATCTTTGCACACAGAACTCCCATGACCAACAGAAAATACTAAAAGGGTTTGGTAGGCATTGATCTTGAGTTTTGGAATTGTAGTTCACCTACAAACAGAGAGCACTGTGGACTCAAACAATGATGAATCTGGATCAAACTTGGCACGAATTCTCAAGATGCCCAAATGTGGGCACTGATGGAATTTGGGGAAAATAGACCTTAAAATTTGGGAGTTGTAGTTGCAGGGATTTATAGTTCACCTACACTCAAAGAGCATTCTGAACCCCACCAATGAGAAAATTGGGGCAAACTTCCCACACAGAATCTCCTGACCAACCGAAAATACGGTATTTTCTTATTGTCTTTGGTGACTCCTCTGACATCCTTCTCGCAACTCCCCCAGGTTGAGAAACACTGATTTATATCATGAATCTGAAGCCAAGAAGAAAAGCAGCACAGCACATGATTAAAAAAAGACACCTTTTTCTTGTAAAAACGATCAATTCCCCAAAGTGTTCAGTAATAAAAAAGGTCCTCACCTGCTGATGAGAAAAACAGGGCTTGCTGCTATTTTGAGAGGAAAAGAACTGTAGGAGTGATAAGGAAATGACATGAAACACAAACAGTTCTTCTGATATTGAAATGCCCCTTAAAGGTGCCTTTGGATGCATCTACACCAGGCACGGGCAAACTTTGGCCCTCTAGGTGTTTTGGACTCCAATTCCCACAATTCCTAACAGTGTCAGGCCCCTTCCTTTTTCCCCTCAGCCGCTTAAGCTAGTTTAAATTTCTGCAAGTTTAGATGCTCCCAAAGTTCTGGAATCCAGCAAGTATTGTGTCTTAGCAGCCAATATAATGAACTAGTAGGACCATGAGGATGCATAAAGCGTCATGCATAAATGCACAAAAGATACCATACTTTGACCTGAGTATTTATTTATCGTATCAGAAGTGAACCGAGGGTACAGTTGTAATTTATTTAAAAAGCACAAAGTTTAAGACACTTGGCATTATACTAAATGTCCTTTGACCAGTAGTTGGCCACTTGGAGTGCCCCTAGTGTTGCTATAAGAAGGTCCTCCATTGTGCATGTGGCAGGGCTCAGGCTGCATTGCAGCAGGTAGTCTGTGGTTTGCTCTCCTCCACACTCGCATGTCGTGGACTCCACTTTGTGGCCTCATTTCTTCAGGCTGGTTCTGTATTTGTGGTGTCAGAGCATGGTCTGTTCAGCACCCTCCAAGTCACCCATTCTTCTGTGTGCCCAGGAGGGAATCTCTCATTTGGTATCAGCCATGGATTGAGGTTCCAGGTTTGAGCCTGCCACTTTTGGACTCTTGCTTGCTTAGGTGTTCCTGCGAGTATCTCTGTAGATCTTAGTAAACAATTTCTTGATTTAAGGCATTGGCGTGCCGGCTGATATCCAAACAGGGGGTGGGAGGGGATGTCACTGCCTTGGTCCTTTCACTATTGGCTGCTACTTCCAGGCAGATGTCAGGTGGTGCAATACTGGCTATACAGTATAATTTCTCCAGTGGTGTAAGGTGTAGAAATCCTGTGATAATGCGGTATATCTCATTAAGAGCCACATTCACTGTTTTAGCATGGTGAGGTGTGTTCCACACTGGGCATGCTTACTCAGCAGGAGAGTAGCAAAGTGCATGGGCAGATCTCTTCACTATGCCTGGTTGTGATTCCCAGGTTGTGTCAGTCAGCTTTTGCATGATATTGTTTCTAGCACCTACTTTTTGCTTGATATTGAAGCAGTGCTTCTTGTAGGTCAGAGCAGGGTCCCAGGTATTTGGGTGTGCTGCAATGCTCCAGTGGGATTCCTTTCCAGGTAATACTCAGCTCTCGAGATGGTTGCCTGTTCTTAAGATGAAAAGCACACATCTGTGTTTTAGTTGAATTAGGAATCAGCTGGTTTTCCCTGTAATAGGCAGTAACAGCACCTAAAGCTTCAGAGAGCTTCTGTTCAATCATTTCCAAGCTCTTTGCTTGGGTGGTGATGGCACGATCATTGGCATAGATGAAACTCTCTGTCTCTTCTGGCAGTGGCTGATCATTTGTGTAAATGTCAAACATTGATGGAGCGAGTACGCTCCCCAGAGGCAGGCTGTTCTTCTGTTTTTGCCATCTGCTTCTCTGGCCCTGGAATTCAACAAAAAAGCTCCTGTTTTGTAGGAGATTTCCTATGAAGCGGGTGAGGCGGTAGTCCTTTGTGATATAAGTTTTTCTCAAGAGAAGGGGATGATTTACAGTGCCATAAACAGCTGACAGGTCTATGAAGACAGCTCTTGTAATTTGACGGGATAAATGGATACTTAATGGTCGCATTGCAAAACAAAAACGTATCAGTCTTTTAGAACAAAAAAAAATCTTTTAGATGATACTATTCACAAACATATTCAGGTAGACTCTTTTTTAAATAATTGACTGAACTTTGATAGATTTTACTATTCGCAGGGACAGTGCCAAATTTGAAGGGGTCCTGCAGGGTGGCTATAGATGTTGGATCGCTGTAAATCTGGCAGTATTATGTCCAACACAAGCATAATGCTTGGTCAAAATTTCAAGTCTGTATCTTTGTTGACATGGAAATTGCTCCAGTCTGAATGCTGGTCAAAATTTGTCACAATGAGTCTCGACGTATTTTCATGCACACTTTCATCCAACTTCTTTGACTGGATTTTGCATCCATAATGTTAAAATTAATTTCATTAGAATCAGCAGAAAAAAACTATACAGGATTTCAATTTACTAGCCATTCTTATACATTTAGTTTCAATTTTATTAGACCCTAAAAATGGCAATTTGTTAAATGTCATGTGCACGCTGACTGACTACCCTTCAGATAACGGGTTCTACATCAGCAATTATTGAAGTTAGAAACCTCAAATTTTGGGAAACTTAGTTTAACATCTGACTGGCAGAACACCTAAAATTTGAACTAAATTGGAGACATGATGGTGGGAAGGCTTAAACCACTTGGCATTGAATTACCCTATGTTTGCCTTTTATGTTTGGAATCCACCCTGAGTCCCTTTGGGGAGATAGAGTGGAACATAAATAAAGTTTTACTATTATTATTATTATTATTATTATTATTATTATTATTATTATTGCACAGTATTTCTCAACCTGGGGGTCGGGACCCCGGGGAGGGGGTCATGAGGGAGTGTTAGAGGGGTCACCAAAGACCATCAGAAAACACAGTATTTCCCACTGATCATGGGGGTTCTGAGTGGGAAGTCTGGCCCAATTCTATCATTGGTGGGGTTCAGAATGCTCTTTGAGTGTAGGCAAACTATAAATCCCAGCAACTACAACTCTCAGATTTTAAGGTCTATTTCCCCCAAATTCCATCAGTTTTCACATTTGGACATATTGAATATTCATGCCAATTTTGGTCCAGATCCATCATTGTTTGAGTCCACAGTGCTCTCTGGATGTAGGTGAACTACAACTCCTAAACTCAAGGTCAATGCCCACTAAACCCTTCCAGTATTTTCTATTGGTCATGGGAGTTCTGTGTGCCAAGTTTGGTTCAATTCCATCATTGGTAGAGTTCAGAATGCTCTTTGATTGCAGGTGAACTATAAATCCCAGCAACAATAACTCCCAATTGTTTTTTGTTTTTTTGTCGTGTCAGGAGCGACCTGAGAAACTGCAAGTCGCTTCTGGTGTGAGAGAATTGGCCATTTGCAAGGACATTGCCCCAACTCCCAAATGACAATATCAATCACTTGCTCCAAATTCAGCAGTACTCAATCTGGGCACATCAGGTATTTGTGCCAAATTTGGTCCAATTAATGAAAATGCATCCTGCATATCAGATATTTACATGACGATTCATAACAGTAGCAAAATTACAGTTATGAAGTAGCAACAAAAATAATTTTATGGTTGGGGGACACCACAACATGAGGAGCTGTATTAAGGGGTTGCAGCATTAGGAAGGTTGAGAAACACTGCTATAGCAAAATGTGCTGCAGGATGTCCCTCCTGCAAAGACAAAGTTTTTGCAGTCTAATAAACATTTTTCATGTTTTTATGACAGAACCAATTAGGAAATGACATTTATAACCCAGGAACAAAAATCATGTTACAGAGTGTTATTTCTTTATTTTTAAATAATGATACATGGATACTTCCAGATCCAGCAATGGGCAAGCACAACAGCAAGCTGGCTCCAGAGATGCTGGACGACCTGGTGAGGAGCACGGAGTTCAATGAGCAGGAGCTGAAGCAGTGGTACAAGGGCTTCCTGAAGGACTGCCCCACAGGGATCCTTAACCTGGAGGAGTTCCAGCAGCTCTACATCAAGGTAAAGTGGCCCAAGGAGGGTCGGAGGGCCACTCTCTGTGTGGGGAGGAAGGAGGAGATTCGTGTCAGCTTAAGGAGTGGCACTCATTGAGCGAAAGATGCACCAACACTGTAGAAAACGAACATGGTTTGACCCCACTTTGTGCCATGGCTCAATGCTATGATGCCACTTTCTCTCCTCAAAGTCCTGTGGAATGAATGCCATTAGATGTCACTTTAACTGCCATGGTTCAATGCTATGACATCCTGGGAACTGTAGTTTTGCAAACTTTTGATCTTCTGTGCCCAAAGTTTCCAGAGCCTTTAAGGTAAAGGTAAAGGTTTCCCCTGACATTAAGTCTAGTTGTGTCCAACTCTGGGGGTTGGTGCTCTTCTCCATTTTTAAGCCAAAGAGCCGGCGCTGTCCGTAGACGCCTCCAAGGTCATGTGGCTGACATGACTGCATAAAGCACCATTACCTTCTCGCCAAGGCAATACCTATTGATCTACTCACATTTGCATGTTTTTGAATTGCTAGGTTGGCAGAAGCTGGGCCTAACAGCGGGAGCTCACCTTGCTCCCTGGATTTGAATTGCTGAACTTTCAGTCAGCAAGTTCTGTAGCTCACTGGTTGAGCACCACCAGGGGGCCCTCATCAAACTGCAGTTTGGAGCCTGACCAAACTGTAAATCCCAGGATTCCATTGTACTGAGCCAAGCCAATCAAAGTGGTGCCAAACTATATTAATCCTGCAGTGTAGATGCCCCTGTTCCAAGCATCGTGATTTGTACTCCTTGAAAATGGAGAGTGCATATACACTGTAGAATGAATGCAGTTTGGTACCATGGCTCAATGCAATAGAATTCTAGGAGTTTGTAGTTTGGTAGAGAAAGCTTGTAGAACTATAACTCCCAGGATCCCATAAGACTGAACCATGGTATTTGAAGTAGTATCAAACTGTATGCATTCCACAGTGTAGATGCAGCCTGTGTTTCCATGCCAGTTCCTGTCCTTCTCTCCGCATCCCTCCTTGTGATGTTTCTTGCTCTCCGCTCTTCTCTCCCGGCAGTTCTTCCCTTACGGTGACGCTTCCAAGTTCGCACAGCACGCTTTCAGAACCTTTGACAAGAACGGTGATGGCACCATCGACTTCCGGGAGTTCATCTGTGCCCTTTCAGTCACTTCGCGGGGCAGCTTTGAGCAGAAGCTGAACTGGGCCTTTGAGATGTACGACTTGGACGGTGACGGAAAGATCACCCGCCTGGAGATGTTGGAGATCATTGAGGTACAACGGACATCTGCTCCGGAAACCATGTCTGATTCAGTGTGGATCCATTCCATGATGTAGAGTCAGGTGCCCTTTGGAAAGACAGGGAGCTCTCTTCTTGGAGGGCTTACAATCACTGTCAAACTGTCCCCAGGTTGTAGCCTGCACCTTGAAGGAGCTTTCCAAGGTGCTGAAGCCAATTGGGGCTCCTACAATCACAGCAAGCCCAAGCATTGCCATCCAAATCCATTCACAAGTATCCAGAACGGTTGAAGTGTGGGGGGAAGATCCTTCTTTAGAGGCTTTAGAGCAGGGGTAGGGAACCTTTGGCCCTCCAGCTGTGGTGGACTTCAACTCCCACAATTCCTTGAGGCTCGGCATTGGGCCAAGGTAAGCCTTTGGGGCGAATGCCGAGCCTCAAGGAATTGTGGGAGTTGAAGTCCACCACAGCTGGAGGGCCAAAGGTTCCCTACCCCTGCTTTAGAGTCTCGATGGCAATCTGTCAGGGGTGCTTTGATTGTGCTTTTCCTGCCATGACAGAAAGGGCTTGAACTAGATAACTTACATGGTCTCTTCCAACTCTATTATTCTATGATTCTATGGACAGTGGTTAGCAATACACATTTTTCATCTCATTCTCTGGTGGTTTTTAAGCAGAGGCTTGTGGTCATCTGTCAGGAGGGCTTTGATGACATTGAAGGCGGTTGGACTAGGTGGCCAACATGGTCTTTTCCAGCTCTATGATTCTGTCATTTAAAAGGCATCTCCCTGACCTTCCAAGAAATCCTATTTCATACAAACAACTCTTACCATCAAGATATTCCTCCTAATGTTTAATCAGAATTGTTTCTCTGGCTACTTAAAATCATTGGATCAGATCCGATCCAAAAAGAAAATCCTCCCATTTCACACATATATTTCCATTGTCCCTTCTCCATCTTCTCTCCAGACAAGCTCAGTTGTCCAAGAATGTGCCTACACTTATTATTAGTCTTTATGTATATGTTTAGTTTTTATTATATGTTATGTTTTTAATTGTATCTATGACATTGTAAGCATTGAATTTTGCCCTGTTAACCACCTTGAGTCACCTACGAGCTGAGAAGGGCGGTATACAAATACAGTAAATGAATAAATAAATCTATATAAATAAAAATGTAATGTTTATTTGTGGGATTAACATAACTCAAAAACCACTGGACAAATTGACACCAAATTTGGACAAAATACATCCTCAGGCCAACGAGTGACCACCACTCATAAAAATACTGAAAAACACAGCAGAAGGGACTTAAAAAGCCATTTTTTAAAAAAAAATACATTACAATGCATGCGCTAAACCACATATACACAAAACACATGTATACACATATACACAAATATTTATTTATTTATTTATTTACCTTACTTATATACCGCTGTTCTCAGCCCGAAGGACTCACAGCGGTTCACAACAAATACGAACAGCAAAAATTCAGTGCTACAATATAGAAACAGTTAACAACCTAACACATTACACAATTAATAAACAGTTACTACAATACCCATTCACTGTCGTCTCGTCATCAAAAACATGATCCAGATTCGTCATCCATTGTTCCATTCCAGTGTTCATTAACCAATCATTGCACTAAATTATTCGAACGCCTGCTCAAACAGCCAGGTCTTTAGTTTTCTACGGAATACCATTAGGGATGGTGCTAATCTAATGTCCGCAGGAAGGGCGTTCCACAGCCGAGGAGCCACCACCGAGAAGGCCCTATCTCTCGTCCCCGCCAGCCATGCTTGAGAAGCAGGCGGGATCGAGAGCAGGGCCTCCCCGGAAGATCTCAAAGTCCTGGTGGGTTCATAGGCAGAGATGCGGTCGGATAGGTAGCTTGGGCCGGAACCGTTTAGGGCTTTAAAGGCCAACGCCAGCACTTTGAATTCAGCCCGGTAGCAGATCGGTAGCCAGTGGAGTTGGCGCAACAGGGGGGTTGTATGCTCCCTGCGCTCCGCTCCTGTTAAAATCATGGCTGCCGAGCGTTGGACTAGTTGGAGCTTCCGAGCTGTCTTCAAAGGCAACCCCACGTAGAGAGCGTTGCAGTAGTCTAAACGGGATGTAACCAGAGTGTGGACTACCGTGTATATATACACACACATATATATGCATACACACATAAAACACATATACACAGACTGGGCCACAGCAACGTGTGGCAAGGGATGGCTAGTAAATAATAAATATATATTTACAGGGTGCAATTATTGCAGTTTGCCAACATTTTAACTTCCAAGACTCAGTGCTATGAAACCCTGGGGTTTTTTATGTATGGGCAGTCCCCAAGTTACAAACAAGATGGGTTCTGTAGGTTTGTTCTTAAGTTGAATTTGTTTGTAAGTCGGAACAGGTACATTTTAAAGTCTAACTTCAGCCATATATTTTACGTCTAAGTTCCCCATTCTCTCCAGCTTTGGAGAGAATGGGGAAGTGTTAACACACCTGTGGTGCTTCCTTTCCTGTATGTATGTATGTATGTATGTATTATTATTATTATTATTATTATTATTATATTATTATTATTATAACTTTATTTGTACCCCGCTAGCATCTCCCGAAGGACTCGATGCGGCTTACATAGGCCAAGGCCTCAAAACACAATAAAACAATACAATACCTAAAGCAAATTAAAAACAGTTAAGCAGTATGAACAACAACAATAAACAATACATCAAGACACTATAAAACTGGGCCAGGCCAGAGTAATGGGTACAAGATTAAAAGTGCTGATGTGGCAGGAGGTATGTGGCAGGAGGTAAGTAAGTGCAGTGTGCAGAGTGCAGCAGTCTTAATTCTACTAAAGTGCTTCTAGGACTTGGTATTGGAGATTCCTAATCTGAGAAGGCACATCGGAATAGCCAGGTCTTCAAATTCTTTCTGAAGACTGCCAATGTAGGGGCCTGTCTGAGATCTTTTGGGAGGGCGTTCCAGAGTCGGGGAGCCGCCACAGAGAAGGCCCTGTCTCGAGTCCCCACCAAGCGCGCTTGTGACGCAGGCGGGATCACAAGCAGGGCCTCCCCAGATGACCGAAGTGAACGCGTGGGTTCGTAGATGGAGATGTGGTCACACAGGTAGGGTGGTCCCAAACCGTTCAGGGCTTTGTAGGTAAGCACCTGCACCTTAAATTGTGCTCGGAAAATAAATGGCAGCCAGTGGAGCTCCTTGAACAGGAGGGTTGACCTCTCTCTGTAATGACATCCTGGCTGCTGCCCGTTGGACCAGTTGGAGTTTCCGAGCCGTTTTCAAGGGCAGCCCTACGTAGAGCGCATTGCAGTAATCCAACCTAGAGGTGACCAAGGCATGGACCACCCCAGCCAGATCACCTCTTCAGAAGTTTTCACATCACTTTCTGTCCCTGTGATCATTAGGTTTTGCAAAATTTGTCTTGTCGTGGAAACAAGGATTGGAGGGAAAGCTTCAGTGGAGACCTCTTTCCTCCATGATAAATATTTTTTTCAGTAGTGGATTTCCCATTTTATGGTCAGATTTCTCTCACTTCCTGTTCTCTTCAGCCCCATTCTTATTTATTTATTTATTTATTTGATATACTTGTATACCGCTAATATCTCAGCCTAAATCGGCGACTCATTGCGGTTTACAGCAATTAAAACAATCTCCAATTTAAAAACATATACAAATACAATAACAAATTATTGGGCCACCAATAATAATCCCATATATCTCAAGTTAAAATCACAATCCAGAGTTCGTTGTCCATATTTCCTGTCCATAGTCACCAAGATTCGATTTAACTGCCACAGATTAGCCGAATGCTTGTTTGAATAACCATGTTTTGAGTCTCTTCCTAAACACCATCAGCGACGAGGCTGATCGTACCTCTATAGGGAGGGCGTTCCAAAGCCGAGGGGCCACCACAGAGAAGGCCCTATCTCTCGTTCCCGCCAGCCGCACTTCTGAAGCTGGAGGGATAGAGAGAAGGGACTCTCCGGAAGATCTTAGGGTCCTGGTGGGCTGATAGGCTGAGATACGTTCGGATAGATAAGTTGGGCCAGAACCGTTTAGGGCTTTAAAGGCCAACGCCAGCACTTTGAATTGAGCCCGGTAGCATATCGGCAGCCAGTGGAGCTGGTTCAGCAAGGGAGTTGTATGCTCCCTGCGCCCCGCTCCTGTTAGAATCATGGCTGCCGCCCGCAAATTGGATGTTTGTAAAATGGGGACTGCCTTTGATGCTGATATCTTTTGTTACATCCTGCCTCAAACCGCGACGAGAGTTTATTTATTTATTTATTTTATTTACGACACTTTTATCCCACCCTTTTCAGCCCGAAAGTGAGTCAGGGCGGCGTACAGACTGGCAACATGCTGTACACACATAAATAGTTTATATTGTTTTAAACAGGTTAAATCACATAATAAAATGCATATAAAAACAATTTAAAACTATTTAAATCAATGACTTCTGAGTTTAAATCCATGTCCATTTGCATCGTTAGACCGTTCCATATTAGTTCACAATATTTAGTTTATCTGGTTACAATGAGGACCTCACAACCTCTGAGGATGCCTGCCATAGATGCAGGCAAAATGTCAGGAGAGAATACTTCTGGAACATGGCCATACAGCCCGAAAAACTTAAAGCAACCCAATGATTCTGGCCATGAAAGCCTTCAACAATACATTTTCCATGTTTTTATGATAGAACCAATTAGGAAATAATATTTATAGCCCAGGAACAAACAATGTGTTACATAGTGTTATTACTATTAGTATTATTTATAGTATTTAAAGTTGGAGCCCCCGGTGGTGCAGCAGGTTAAACTGCTGAGCTTCTGACCGAAAGGTCAGTGGTTCAAATCCAGGGAGTGGGGTGAGCTAGCAGTTCGAATATGCAATATGAGTAGATAAATAGGAACCGCTCTGGTGGGAAGGTAATGGCGCTTCATGCAGTCATGCTGGCCACATGACTTTGGCAGTGTCTATGGACAAAGCTGGCTATTCGGCTTAGAAATGGAGATGAGCACCACCCCACACAGTCAGACACGACTAGACTTAATGTCAAGGGAAACCTTATTATTATATTACCTTATTATTTATAATCTGGCAGTGAAGAATAAAGACTTTTTAGAACAGCAGCTCCCAGGATCCCATCACATTGAGCTATAGCAGTCAAGTGGTGTCAAACTGCCTTAATCGAACAGCATAGATCATAGAGTTGGAAGAGTGACCTCATGAACCATCCAGTCCAATCCCCTGCCAAGAAGCAGGAAAATCACATTCAAAGCACCCCAAGCCCTCCATCATCGTGGTTTTCAGCTCTTTGGCCAATTTGGCCATCCTCTAATGGTCCCCCTCCTCTCTTTTAGGCCATCTACAAGATGGTGGGCACCGTCATCATGATGAGGATGAACCAAGATGGCCTGACCCCACAGCAGCGCGTGGACAAGATCTTCGCCAAGATGGACAAAGACAAGGATGACCAGATCAGCCTGGAGGAGTTCAAGGAAGCGGCCAAGAGTGACCCCTCCATCGTCCTGCTGCTGCAGTGCGACATGCAGAAGTAGAGGGGCTTCACCTGCTGTCCCCCCCAGATCCCCCAGCCTTGCGTTTCCAATCCATCTGTCCATCTTCCTCCTCCTCCTTGGAGCTGCAGGCCTCACTCTTGGAGGCAGGAGGGGCCTCATCTGCATGGGTCTTCTAGGTCCAAAACAAGTCCCCCGAGAAGCTCCCCAACATCAATAAGGCTCTATCTTTTGGGGAGTGGGTCTGTCAGAGTGGGTTCCCCTTCCTACGCCTTCCATCCCTTCTCCTAGACCCTTCTCCTTTTTCCCTTTCCATCCTTGGATGTTCCCAAGACCCTCTTCCAAATCTACCTGTTTGACGGCCTGCCGAAATCCATGACCCATGATGCAATGATCCACAAGGTCTTGCAACCCCCGAAGCCTCGCTCTCCTTAAGCTCAGCTGTCGCTTGCTGTATTATGGTGCATCTCTTTCCCCTGGTGACCCTCTAGCATCATCTTCAGGTGGGGATTTTAATATCCGCTCCCCCTTTGCATTCCTGAATCATCCCTTCTACCCCAGGACCTTTTCAAACCTTCCTCCTCCCATTCCTTTTTGCTTTGGTGGAAGCTTATAGTTTCTTTTCACCCAGCAATGGGTTGTCCCTGTAGCTTTCCATAATGTCTAAACAAAGTGTTTCCCCTTTGGACTTGTGCTGATGCTGTTGCTTCTAAGTCAGAATTATTGGAGCGAATAATATAAATAGTATATCAGAGATATCTCATGGCATATGCAAAGAATTGCAAAGAGGATCATTTTCCGCGTTGGCTTCTTCTGATAATGCAACCTTGCTCTGTAAATCTGTACGCTTACGTTCCGGGGCGGGGGGGGGGGGGGGGAAATGTGCTTCTTTAAAGGGCTGGGGGTGCATGGTGACACTACATTTTAACGGTCCAATGGGGTGAGAGCCTGCTTTCCGGTCTCTAAAGGCCTTTTCTTCCATTCTCAGCCAAGGAGGCAATTTTGGGGATTTCAAAAGGGTTTCCAACCTAAGAGAATATAGTAGAGTCTCGCTTATCCAACACAAACGGGCCGGCAGAACGTTGGATAAGCGAAAATGTTGGATAATAAAGAGGAAAAAGCCTATTAAATATCAAACTACGTTACGATTTTACAAATTAAGCACCAAAACATCATGTTTTACAACAAATTGGCAGAGAAAAGCAGTTCAATACACAGTAACGTTATGAAGTGATTGCTTTATTTACAAATTTAGCACCAAAACATCACAATGTATTGAAACATTTGTGGACCCAGACAGGAGGCAGACTGCATTAGATAATACAGAACGTTGGATGAGCGAAGGTTAGATAAGCAAGACTCTACTATATGTGTAAAGAAGAGGTTTGCCCTTGCCTCACTTTGAGGCTGAGAGAGTGTGGCTTGGTCAAGTGGGTTTCAGGCCTGAACGGGGATTGGAATCCAGTTTTCCAGAATTGTAATCCAGTGCTCTAGCTCCTATGTCTATGTATAAAATAGAAGGGGAAGAGGCCTTGAGGGTTGCCAAAAGAAACTAATATTTCAAGGGACCAATTTGGAGCGAGAGCAGATACCACTGCCATAATAAAAGAAGCTCTTGGGGAGACCAGTGGGAATGACAGGTTGAAAATGCCAATAGGTGCAGATATTCTCCAATCATGTTTTGGCCCAAGTTCGTATTTTTTGCCTTTCTGGTCACTATAGTGCAGCCCCATGTAAAGAGATATTGCTTGGATTCAGGTCTTTGGAGGTTTACATTACGCTCAGCTGAAGTCAGGGGTCCAAGACCCCCATGAAAGTGCAAAACCACAAATAAATGCCTAGGAGTCTGCTGGCGTCTCCTCTCGGGATGGCCATCTGTTGGGAAGGGTTAGATTTATTGTTGAAGGCTTTCATGGCTGGAATCACTGGGTTGTTGTGAGTTTTCCAGGCTGTATGACCATGTTCTAGAAGCATGCTCTCCTGATGTTTCGCCTGCATCTATGGCAGGCATCCTCAGAGGTTGTGAGGTCTGTTGGAATCTAGGAAAATGGGGTTTATATATCTGTGGAATGTCCAGGGTATGTATGTATGTATGTATGTATGTATGTATGTATGTATGTATGTATGTATCTATATCTATCTATCTATCTATCTATCTATCTATCTATCTATCTATCTGTCTATACACATACATACACATATATACACCCCCTATATAAACCCAATTTTCCTAGTTTCCAACAGACTTCAGAACTTCTGAGAATGCCTGCCATAGATGCAGGCAAAATGTCAGGGGAGAATGCTTCTGGAACATGGCCATACAGCTCAGAAAACTCACAACAACCCAAGGGTTAGATGGTTTCTTCATGGCAGAATGGAATTGGATTGGATGGTCTTGAGGATCCCTTGCAAATGTCGTAATATAATAGACTGCCTGGGAGTCCAATGAAGTCTTTTTCTCTGCACACTGGATGGCCATCTGTCGGGAAGGCTTGGATTGGATCGTCCTACCTTGGACTGGATGGCCCTTGGGATCTCTTCCAACTTTAATCATAATAAATAAATCACTATTTTTTTCTCTAGGACTTCCTAGGTCTCCCAGTATGACCTTATGGTCAACTCTAACTGGAAATTGAATATAGGATTGTGCTGGAGGACCTAAAGATGGCTAGAGCATTGTCTTCTTTGCAAATCTCCAGGTCCTCCGGCATAAATGGAGGAACTGAACATAAAGTCATACGGGAGGAGCTAGAGATTCCTAGGCTAATCAAATCCACAGAAGACCAAACTGCAAGGGCGAAGAGTTGACTGTAAGCAAAACAGAAAGACCTTAATGCCAGCAAAGGATCTGGTGAGAAGTAGCCATGGAAGAGGTCAGGCATGAGAGGAGATGGAGGTTGTTTGGTCCCACTTTGGGGTGCGTCTCCACTGCAGGATTAATGCAGTTTCGTATCACTTGAACTGCCATGGCTCCATGCTATGGAATTCTAAGAATCACAGATTTGCATTTGTTGACAGAGAAGGAGGAAGACCTTGCAGAAATGGCAATTTCCAGGACTCCATAGCCTTGAGCCCTTGCAGTTCAAGTGGGGTCAAACCGCATTAATTCTACAGTGTAGACACATCCCTTGTTGTTGCTATAGAGGCTATAAGGCTGGGGCTTTTCTGAACTTGTCCATATACAATGCTGATCTCTTTTGGGGGGATTTTTTTTGCCGAGGGGTGGGTGGGTGGGGAATGGGTGGGTTGGGGTCAATGTCCAAACGGCTACCTCTGTCCTTCGGTGTCCCTGCCCTGGACTGAAGAGCCTTCTTCTTCTTGGAGATGCGTCCCGTCGCTTGTCGTGGTTTTGAATATCGTAATAACTGTTTAGAAACTGTGATGTTCATAGATAGAAAGAGATATACACAGAGATAGAGAGAGCGAGAGAGAGATTATCTCTTTTTTTTATAAAAATGGTTGAAAAATAAAATGGGTCTCATGTAAAAGGAATGTCATGTGTCTTTCTTGCATTACTGGAATGAAGGAAAGAAATGAGTCGCCTTCGGGCTGAGAAAGGGGGTATATAAATACAGCAAATAAATAAATAAATAAATAAATAATTCCCATATCTCCAAAGCCAGACCTTGCAGGTATGGGAATAAAGCTTTCCTTCTGCTGCTCCAGAGATCAGAACTTGAACTGATGGATTAAGATAAGAGATTGAACCTAAAAACATCTATAGAGATAGATAGATAGATAGATAGATAGATAGATAGATAGATAGCTGACAGACAGATAGATAGATAGATAGATAGATAGATAGATAGATAGATAGAGATGATTGAGTGATAGATAGATAGATAGATAGATAGATAGATAGATAGATAGATAGAGATGATAGATAGATAGATAGATAGATAGATAGATAGATAGATAGATAGATAGATAGATAGATAGATAGATGATAGATAGAGATGATAGATAGATAGATGGCTGATAGGTAGAGATAGATAGATAGATAGATAGATAGATAGATAGATAGATAGATAGATAGATAGATAGATAGATAGAGATGGCTGATAGATAGATAGATAGATGGTTGATTGATATATAGATTAGATGATAGATTATAGATAGATAGATGATAGATAAATAGATAGATGATAGATGGTTGATCGATAGATAGCTAGATAAATAAGTAGATGATAGATCGATATAGATGATATAGATAGATGATAGATAAATAGATTGATCGATAGATAGCTAGATAAATAGATAGATATAGATAGATGATAGGTAAGTAGATATATAGATGATAGATGGTTGATCGATAGATAGATAGATAGATAGATAGATAGATAGATAGATAGATAGATAATAGGTAGATAGGTAGATAGAGATAGATAGATGATAGATAAGTAGATAGATAGATGATAGATGGTTGATCGATATATAGAAAAATAGAGATAGATAGATAGATAGATAGATAGATAGATAGATAGATAGATAGATAGATAGATAGATAGATAGATAGATAGATAGATGGGGGGGAGAGAGAGAGATTATAGACTCTCAGAACTGCTGGACCATGGAATGGACTCCATTGGAGGATTGTTTTTGAATCCAAATCATCTGCTTTGAACTGAATTATATGGCAGTTTAGACTCACATAATCTAATTCAAAGCAGATACTCTGGATTCAGAAACTGGATTATATTTATTTATTTCCCATATTTCTATCCCATCACTTCTCAACCCCCGAAGGGGGACTCAGGACGCCTTATAATGGGCCCCGTTACGTGGCCACTACATAACAATTACAATAATAAAAACACAATTGAACAGAAATCATAATTAAACAATACAAAAGCAATAATTAAAAACAGTAAAACAGTCTCGACACCCTATTGTCGTTCCAGTCATGTCTCTCTAAGGTGCTGCTTACATCTATTGTCCAAAAGCCTGGTCCCAAAACCATGCCTTTAATTTCTTTCGGAAAGCCAGGAGGGAGGGAGCCAATCTTACCTCAGTTGGGAGTGTGTTCCATAGGCGGGGAGCCACCGCCGAGAAGGCCCTGTTTCTCATCCCCGCCAGATGAATTTGTGCTGTTGTCAGGAGTGAGAGCAGGGCCTCCCTGGATGATCTTAGATTACGAGGTGGGATGTAGGGGTAGATGCGTTCGGACAAGTAAGCTGGGTCAGAACCGTATAGAGCACTTTGAATTGGGCTTGGAGATGAACTGGCAGCCAGTGGAGCTGGCAGGGGGGTGGTATGTTCCCTGAATGTCACCACAGTTAGTAATCTGGCTGCCGACCGTTGGACTAGCTGAAGTTTCCGAACCGTCTTCAAAGGCAGCCCCACATAGAGTGCATTGCAGTAATCTATTCGAGATGTAACCAGAGCATGGCCGTGTAGATCCAGCCTCTGACATCTTGTGGCAAGGTTCAGATGGGCTTCTTTTGGGAGAGCTTTAATTGTCTGCTCCCACACCGCAGCTGGTTGGATTAGATGTATCTCTCTTATCAACGGGTCTCATGGGGCACAAATATCCATAAATATAAATGTCTGGATAAGCAACATCTAATGCACAGGGGTTTTGCCCCCGAACCATGGCATATTTAAATCAGGGAGACTGCTATGGAGTTCTAGTTGTCATTGGACCACAGTTCCCAATATCCTTAACTCTCAATATCCTTAATGCACAGGCATATGGGAGCTGCAGTCCAAGCAAGAGACATCTGGAGAGCCAGGATTTGGGCAAAATTCATGGGGACAC